AGCTGCAGAAATCGACATATAGTAGACAATACTTCTGGAGGTGTCTTTCCTCATGCTTGTAGACGAAAAACAATTTATGATAAAGAAGAAAATTAATGTAACGTTTTCTTTAAGTTATATTTATATGCTTTCCTTATGTGCAGTCTAAAATCCAACCTGAAAAAGTGTTTACGTTTGACTGGATGTATACTTAGTTCTATTATTTACTTTATTTGGAACTCAGGGCTGTGTTTTGCGGATTCCAGTAATATCTGTCAGGGCACTCTACGGATGGATTGCTCGACGTCCTCGTTTGTCGTTAGACTGGATGCAGTTCGCATAGTCTTAAAACCAACTATATGTCATTGAGGCAAGCTGGGGATACGGCCAATAATACTACCGTATTGGTGCTGCTGTTTATCATTATATTTTTACAGGCACCTACCTTGTTGCCATTGGAAATATCGTGTATTAAGTGAACTTTGTATATGATTTTAGAATGTAATTCTTAGTTATTCATAGGTACTGCGAGATGCTTTAATTTTATAGGTATCTAGCTGATGGTGTGGTAGTGTGTGTTACCAGATATACATATTATTCGTAATACATTTCAAAACTGGCATGAATTTTACCATTTTAAAAACTTTAGTACTATATGTATGCTATAACTAGAAAATAGTCAATTTCGCACTTCGCTAGTTTTCTGGCTGTACAAAATTCTGCGCTGCTGTTTAGCAACGTCAGTCAGTCTGGTGGTGCACTTATGTGAATTAGTTAACTGTTTTGCTCGCGCATTTCGCGCTGTCTCTGGAATTTATGCACCGTTTACGAGTTTTATAGAACAAAATGAACTGGAAGATATTATGCTGTGGGAAAAAAAGATCCATGAGTTGAAGTGACTTATGAGATATGGTATTTAATAAAAGTGCTCAGTGACACTTAAGATAACAGTAGAGGCGAAAATAAAATTTATAAGAATGGCAACCAATTTAGAAAAACAGGTGATGAACGCAGTAGATTTTACCGCATTTATCCAAAACGGCTGTTTATGAAACCGACTCTGAGGATCTGCCAGAAAAGCAAGGCAAAATGCCTAGTTTAGGAACTTCAAATGAAATTGGCGTTCCAGGACCATTTGCATAAAATAACGCCTGAAAGAAATACTATATGTATTAATATAGTGCATTTTGTTGCAACAGGAGTCCTACGTGATTATATGTTGCTCAAGAAAACCTATACCATACATCAAATTTTATGTGCATAAAAGTGATTTGCAGATTACCTTCCTTGTTTGTAGTTCCTATGGTATAAATGGCTGTATTGCGATATGAAATGCAACTTACAATAGATGTTGGCACAAGTGATAAATAACTGATCAAAACAAGTGTGTTATTTAACACCATATATATATAGTTGCTAAGAAAATTCCGGTCATATTTATAACTAACTGCGCCACTGTAGTCGTCTTGGTCTCACAGAAGGCATTGTGTTATACCGCCCTCAGTGTTAATTATCCGTAGTATGAGATTGTTATAGATTATGCCACTAACAGCAATTTTATAGCAATCTGCTTGGTATTAATTTCCCCCCGGGGGGTCGACGTAGAGAATTCTGCGAAGCTACTGGCTAGGATCCGTACCTAGGGAGTCTCGGCCAGGGGGTATAAAATTTATGAGCTTGGTGGTTCTGAAGGCCCTGGGAAAGGTCACTTATTGGCCGGCCTCGGCGGTCTCATGTTCTGAGCGGTTGGATCCCCGGTTTACTGGGTAACGGCCTTCTGCGACGGGCTCGCCCATGCGACTGGCAGGTAGCAATTGACGACCAGTGCTGCCTGGAAACGTTTTCAGGTGATGCGCTGCTCCTCTGGAGGGGATGTAAATATTTTGACGCGTCAATCATGCCCTAAATGATTTAATGGACCTTTTGCGTCAATTAATTCTTGAAGATAGGCTTATGCGTGTGTATGCTATAATTAGTTAAATGCAACTTATTTAAAACGCGCAGGCATTGTAATATACGCACACTCTGCAATTTGTTCTACCTATGTAAGTAGTTTGGTCTGCTCCAGGAACGTAGAGTATAGTATTGTGAATATTTAATTAAGGTATATGCACCAGTACTGGTTTATAAGGTATATCTTCAGTTTGTATATAGCATCGTAAGTATTTACTAAGGAATATTTCCGTTCGTATTAATTCATATTGTTTCCCCAGCATTTGATCAGTAAAGTAAAAAAAATCCGATGCCACTAGTGGTAGACTGTATTATTAATTACATGAAAGTCTGCTTATCTGCTTCTTGGAATGGATGCATACGTGAAGACGTTTGTAAAGGAAACTGGCCTGTATTTGCATTACAAATGATAACCATGAAACCTTCATAAAAACATTGTTTAACCCTTTTGACTATACTAACGGGACATGTATGTGCCACTAAAATTTTAAAAAACTACTGCTAAGTTAAAAAGTACTTAAAATCTGAATGCTGAGGATCATCTTCCAATACTTGGAAAACCAAGACACCGCCGTGCTCGTTGCACACAAATGAACATAGAAAAGAACAAATAGCAGTTGTCTAATGTGTAATGTTGGGTTATGCAAAGAATGCTTTACTCTGTACCATACGACATAAAATCTATTTCATGTAATAAAGTTTCCCAGAATAAAAGGTGTGCTTATAATAAGTCGACCGCGACATGTGGGACACATGTATTTCATCATAAACTATGACTGGGACATGTGTCCCAGCCTTTGGCGTGAAAACCCTTTGCGAAAAAATCCCAAATGCTAAATGTACCTTATTTACGACATATTTTGCTCACTTGAATAGAAAATAGGGGTCATTTTTTTAATTCGCAGTCAAAGGGTTAAAGCCCGAAAATAGAAATTACCACCGATTGCAGGTTATTTCTTGATTTTAACTACTCGGCTGCTGTTCGAACCATTTAAGGCAGCTAACATTGCAGTCCATGCTCGCGCTCTTACAATAAATAAACGTAAGGTTAGAAAATATCACTGTAAAATACAGTGTATATCAGTACAATAAGTGGCAAACTTTCAGAAGAGAGCGAGAGAGTACACCAAATGATGGGAAATCGCATATGAATACATGGTCGGAAACGCTTATCTGGCGCGGTATTGACGACAGAAAACTCAAGAAAGCACCCGAACGGAGTGAGAAAACATGTTTATTATTCGGAGCAGAGAAAAAACAAGGAATAAACAACAAAAAGAACGATCATCATCAAAGATGGTGTTTGAAATTACGACTCTGACAGTTACACAGGAATCGTGCGTCATGCATCTTCTACTATTGATGCAGATCTTCAATGTGCCAGACAAGTGAGGCCTGCATCACGGACTAGGGTCGTAATTTCGAACGCCTTGTTTAATGACGATCGTTGTTTTTCTTATTTGTAGGTTTCTGCTGTACTAAATAAAACTTGTTTCAATTTCCTTTCTTTTAGGAGTTTTGTGTCGTTACTACCGCGCCAGAAAAGCGTTTTCGATCATGCATTGCTATGCGATTTCCCATCGTCCCTTTGTCTCTCCTGAACGTTTGTCCTGAACGTCCTGTATAAAATTATTCCTTAACCCTTTGGCCTATATAACCACGAGTCTGACTCAGAGTAACGAATTTGCGTCATAAATAAAAGCCACGAGTCTTATTCGTGGTAAAGAATTTGGGTCAAACAAAAGCCACGAGTCTTACTCGTGGTAAAGAATTTGTGTCAAACAAAAGCCACGAGTCTGACTCGTGGTAAAGAACTTGTGTCATAAACAAAAGCCACAAGTCTTACTCGTGGTGAGGAATTTGTGCATAAATTGCCGCGTATTATTAAAATAAGCGATTGGAGTTATTCTACATCGAATATTTTCCTTTTTATTGTAACGTCAGTATTTTTTTTTCAGCTGTTTCTGACGAAACTGGATGATCTGTTACTTTAGTTCCGCGTAAAGCTTCGTTACGTTCACACGTTTCAAATATAATTTCGTATAAAGAATTAAAAAATACTCTTATACCCATCATGCCAAACTCTTATGCCAACCATGCTATTTTTATCAACTGATCAATTGATTATGATTACACCCTAGACGTCTTAGAATTACTATTTGTACCTAAAACATTGTTTATTATTTCACAATTCCTTTCGTTACACTGAAATATATATGTCATGAAAAGTATACATTTTATGCCAGTTTGGGTACACGGCTGAACAGTTGAATGGCACGTCGCGCGACCGACTTGTTTACTATAGCTCGCGCAATTGGCAGATATCGTGTAGCCAAAAGGTTAAGGAGCGTCGCTCCTCGTCCCTATGTTAGCAAAATCCTTATAATAGAAACTAGTTTTTCACTAGGTGAAGTCTGAAAATTTTTGACAACTGTAATTTAGGTATCTGAATATTAACTCTTTCGCATCGAAGTCGCCCGTAACGTCCGTTCATTCAGGCAACGGCAAACCGCCCCAACGCCTCGTTTATTTTCTACCTAGTGCTTTCCCCCTCCACGTTAGTGTATGGCTCATTGGTTTCGGGAGTTGTTAAGAGACATGTCAATCATTCTTTTGAAGCAACTAAAGAAGACATACGGAAAGCTATTAACGTCCGCAGGTGCAATCCGGCTCTAAGGTGAAACTGCACACAATGGATGAAACCGCAGAAAAACCCCCAAGAGAGAAGCAGTCATTTCACTTAAGTAGGTTATTGTTAATGCTGTAGCTATCTACCAGGCAGGGGGAAAGGACAACTATTCCAAGACAAATTCGTAAACACGGGCGTTTTCGATGTTTGATGAAAACAGATTTGGTCGTCTCTCGATGCGAAAGAGTCAAGCTATTTGCTTCCACTTACACTTAGTTTCATCATTTTTTAAATGGACTTGGAAGTAATGAATTTTCCTCCCATTTCATCGATGCATGTGATACAATTTTTTTTTCTTTCCGAATTTTTTGTTTTAGGGACATGTATTATCTGAAAGTTGGCATGACAAACCAAAGTATGAAGAACTGAAATAAAACCATTCTTTCGGAAACGACATTTTAATAACATTAACATACTGAACAAACTTAAAATGCTTACATTTTGTGATGAAACAGGATGATTGATTGTGAAGCTTGATTAAAGTTAACTATAATCATTACAAAACTTATGATAAAATTGCTGGAATCTTCTTTAAAATTTCTATGGATTAAAAAACCAATTATCCTTATAATAAAAGCACTTCGATAAAAATATTTAGAAAGCTTGCAAAAAATATTGCATGTCAGCCGAAATGTTTTATATTATGCATGAACATTTTATTTTTTAAAGGCGACTGCGTCTGCATAAGACTTTTTTGGCTCGGTTCCACTTATCTCTTGCTTATCTGGGTATATCACCTTATTGTTGACATGAATTTTAGGTAATAATTCACTTCGAACTATACTCGATTGATTTGATGATCCACATTCGCCGACATTAGAGTTACCACAATCACTAGAGTTGAAATTCTTGGATACTACACCGTGATTTTCATAAAGGCCTTCGCTTCTAGTGTTCGAATCACTTTTTGCGTGCTTTCGACGACTGCTACCAGTTTTAGGTACTGACTCATTTTGAATTATGGACCCTTGAGTTAATGAATCGTATGTTCCCAAATTATAGCTATAATTTTTGTATTTTTTACTCAAATTTGTAGGCTCTATTTTCCGCAATGATCGCGTGCTCCTTCTATAACAAAAAATTCCTGCTTTTCTCTTTAATGACGATTGAGAATATTTGGCAGAGGCACCTTTCGACGGAGTTGCCATGCAACCTCGCTTTAACCTCGCATCAGTTGTACTTGAAACGTTGAAATTTCTATCACCTCTTGATGCTGTTGCTAGGTTAGGCTTTTTCTTTACAAAACTGTCCCTTTTATCGTATCTAATCCTGTTTAAATCCGTTTCGTCGCATCTATGCGCTCTGTCTGAATCCGTTTCATCGTAGTATCCATGCGTTTTGTTTGAATAAGCGATCTCACCTTCCGTTCGAGTTCCAAAATCGCGCAATTGGTAACCTTTATTCATTGCATTAACGGGATCAAACATATCAAGTGCCTTTACTTGATTTGGAACTACATCCATCTTCTTATATTCAGAGAAATGAAAAGGCTCAAATGAAGCTTGATCACCTTTTTGGTGGACTTCAGTAGCTGTTTCAGACTTAACACTTATTTTAAATGAAGGGTTTTCGTGGACTGTATTGGAAGCACAGTTTGCGTTACTATTGCTTTGGAGTTCCTGTACCTGTTCCGAGCCATCTTGTTTCAAACAGAAATTACGAAGTTTTGGAATCATGCGTTTACATTTTTTGGCAGCTTTCAATATAGATTCCAAGCGGGGTTCTAAATCAGCGGTATTACAGTTCGTCACCTCTTGTGTAAAATCAGCTGTGCTGAAAATAAATAAGAAACGTATATTAAATGGACTCTAAATTTGCAACAAGGAAGACTTGTAAAGGCATATTTATTTACAAAAAACTAAGCAAAGGTTGCTTTTAAAGTATTTAAATAATTTAATTGCTGTTTAAGTGCTAAAACAGCATTATTTATAAAACGTATATTTCAACATTACATTTTTTTATTGCTCAAAAATAAGGATAAGTTAAAAACTGTCTTTAAATTGAATATATGAAATCACTCATGAAACAACTTATTCCACTCACTCAAGATATTACACTTCTTGCACTCCCACTACATATAAGAAACTACACTTGTTACATGCAATTCCTCTAAGTACAAAGACAAGAAGCTTTATAAAGTGTAGTTTTCTTGAATTAAGTTTTACATCGTGAAATATGAAAAATTGCGTGGAATATAAGGCAACAGTTGCTAACAATCAGCCGTCAGAATTCTACAACTTGTAACACTAACACAATCCATTTTCGTTTACCAAGATTTGCAACTAAACGTCCATTTCCATAGATAAAGAAAAGTTCGGAAGGACTATTTTAAATAATCAAATCCTGAAGCACGGAATGTACTGGAGAGCTGGAGGAATGCTGCTACAGGCTAGTAGAATATATATCGATGTGGAGGAATGCTGCTACAGGCTAGTAGAATATATATCGATGTGGAGGAATGCTGCTACATGCTAGTAGAAGATATACATATTACGTGGATAGTAAAACTAGTTGTACATAAATTATTGTTAAAGGTATCCATTTTCAAAAGAGATTGATTTAGACCTATGCAGCCACCGACTGCTGTATCAGAATACAAATCACGACTAACCGCAAAAAGAATGACAACCGACCTATTAAGTGAAATAATGTCCAAAGTCTTGAAGCTTTTGAACCGCATCGCGTACCAGAGGTGAGCGATGACCAGCACTACTCATAAAAATATGCTAAGGACGGCATATCGAATTGAATATTACCAATAGCCCCAATTAGACCTATACTACTACAGCATGCAGTATAATTTATTCATTTTTGATCATTATCTATATAATTGCCCTCAACATCCTTATAGTAAATGTATCAGTAAGCGTGTGACAAGTTATCTATGAAAATATCTTGTAAAACACTTTAAATGTCCTTTCATTCTACCCTCAATTTTGCACTTGCATCTTGCATCAAAAAATGGGACAGTTATGCATCTCCTGTTCTACTGGACAGATTGCCGAAATTTAACTTGCATTTTACTTGTGTCTCGAAATCGTGACGTAAGTTTATGTCAAGTAAGTATAGGTTAAGTGAGCATAGTTCATCGTGACGTAAGTATAGGATTTAAAGTATATAGCATTATTGTAACAGGTATTTTAACACAAAATCGGACTTTTCCGAAAATAACATTAATTTTTTTTATTTCGATTCTATAACTCAAATTATGCCTACATATTGAATTTTGTAATTTTTGGTGAGAAATTTATGAAGAAATTAAAAAAATTTATCTTGGCGCATTTTTCCCGTTTGCGCCAAGAATAATTCACTTGGCGAACTTCTTAATTTATAGCAAGCTGTTTTCCTTGCCTTTTCTGTTTGTACACGGTCACCGTTCATTACTTTCAAATAATTTTAACAGTGTAAACGGCATCTGTAGTGAGCTAGTTCTCGGAACAGGGAAGCCAAAACTTATAGTGTAAACGGCATTTGGCATTATTATCACGTATAACGAATATACTTCAAAACGTGCCGAAAAGGAAAATCACGTATTATCTTAGTTTGAACTAGAAAACTAATTTTTTTGCAGGAATCCTTAGAAATACATATACTTTAAAATGATGGTTAAAATTCTATAGGTTATAATTCAAAATTTTTTTCGAAAAGATTTTAAAAATTATTTAAAATTCCACATTTAAAAAATCATTAAAGTGCTCGAATTTTATATGGAATGAACCTAAGTTTCGAATTGTGACAGGAAGAATCAAATAAGTTTAATTAAAAAAGAGCTATTAATGAGTATATACCATATTCAATTAACATGGAGGAGCTAAAATTTTGAGGGAATTTTTAAGTACTTGCGAGGTTTTCACAAAACATGGCACTTTGGCGTAATTTGAATCGTAGAATCGAAATAATGAAAAAAATGGATATATTATTTCGGTTTGATTTGGTTTTGGTTTATTTAATTATGGCAAAGCACACTAGGGCTATCTGCCTAAGGGGAGGGATGCCTTCGCGGAGAACTTTCTAAGGGAAACTGGCTCGTATACACGTTACACATGGGGAAAACCACGAAAACGCCCATGCAGCCAGCCCGTTCGCGGGATTCAAATCTCGGACAGAACTACTAGTGTTCAGCGACTTTACCACTCGTCCGCTGGTGAGCCTTTATGTTATTTCGGAGAAAATCCGTTTTTGTGTCAAAATACGTATGTTAGAACAAATGCTACATATAATTCTAATATATATGTTACAGTAAAAAGGATAAATCGATGATTCTATAAAATTACCGATGATTATACATACCACTGAATTTGGTAAATATGATAAATTATTTCATATTTATCAAATTCACCGGTAACTCTATAAATTCCCCAACTCGTAATGGAAAACATAATAAATTTGGATTATTTTGTAGAAACAAACCAAACCCATATTCGATTGGGCAAAAAAAAAAAAAACATTTTTTTGCATTTACATCCAAGTTTACTTCTTTAGACGTATTACTGTTTTAGAATTACAAAGCTTGCCAGATTTTTTACATTTGCACTTATCATCCTAATCACCACTAAATTTGGGAAATATGCAACTCGTAATGGTAAATGATAAACATCAAGACTTATTGTGCAGGTTTTTTTAGTAGTTACTACTCGTAAAAATATTTTTTAGTTGGACAATATGGCGTAAGATACCACTAATTACAATATTTATGTTTTGCAATTAAAAAGTCAATAAATGGTTATTTTAGGTCACATATATTTATTTAGCCTGAACGAAATTTGAATAAGGGCCTGACCAGTGTTGTGAAATGAAAAAATGCAATTTGCATGAGCTTGTGCAAAACAGTTGCACATAAAAAAACTGTAGTTACATATAAAAAACAAACTAAGCCCATATTCTAGAGGGGAAAAACATTTTTTCAAATAACGTTAAATGTTATTACTACGAATTACTAAATATTTTAAGTTTACTTATTTAAGCATATTAGACTACTATGACATTTAGAATTACAAAGTTTGCCAAAATTTTTACATTTGCAGTTATCAGACTTGCATGGTTCATAAAGTCAGTATTAAAATCCGATACACCATAAAAGCGAAATTTCTTTTGAGGCGATGAAATGGAGGATATCCGTTCATTGGACTGTTGATTTAATTCAGGTTTATAATGTCAGAACCGCCTCTCCTTAATTCTCGTTATTTTTCGGAAGAAACAGGGACAAGAGAGATGCAAGTAAAGCACTTGCGTCAGGTGAAGACATAGAAGGGGCGCCAAATATTATATGAAAAGTTAAAAAAATTTCCTCTGCTTAGCAAAAATTACATTAATTTTCAACTTTGACAAAATAAAAGATGCTTTGTATTATATTTAAAATAACAAAACTATTAGCATTATTTCTGACAATTTGTAAGTATTATACTCATTTATTTTTATATCTCATTCTCTGCACTGTGTCATGTAATCAGACGTTATCAAGATTATTTACATTAAAGCATTATATTTTTTCATATATAATGCTTTAATGGGAAAAAGCATATTCTTGATGTTGCTTTCATTACTGTAAAAAAGCACTATATTCTTGATGTTGCTTTCATTACTGTAAAAAAGCACTATATTCTTGATGTTGCTTTCATTACTGTAAAAAAGCACTATATTCTTGATGTTGCTTTCATTACTGTAAAAAAGCACTATATTCTTGATGTTGCTTTCATTACTGTAAAAAAGCACTATATTCTTGATGTTGCTTTCATTACTGTAAAAAAGCACTATATTCTTGATGTTGCTTTCATTAATGTAAAAAAGCACTATATTCTTGATGTTGCTTTCATTAATGTAAAAAAGCACTATATTCTTGATGTTGCTTTCATTAATGTAAAAACCATTATATTCTTGATATTGCTTTCATTAATGTAAAACCATTATATTCTTGATATTGCTTTCATTAATGTAAAAGCATTCTTTATATTGCTTTCATTAATCTAAAAAAAGCATTATATTCATGATATTGCTTTCATTTCCGTTAGATGGTAGTCTGATTTCCATTAACGATCTATCTCTCATAGCAGCCTCTTCAGACAGTAGGTGCCTCACCGTTAACGTATGGCACTGCTTAGTATCAAGAAAACAAGCAGCAAAATTTAGTCAAATATAAAATACATACAAATAAATATTATTCAGCAAAATTAACAAAATGTTATATTATTTCATTGCAATCGGGTTTCTTTAGCACACAAATTTATGCCATAATTTCTATTAATTCCTGGAAAGGCGTTTGGATTTGGTTCCGTTAACTTCGGTAAGTAACTGAAGGGTTACCTGCCAGTTGGGTAGGATGCCTCTGTGAAGAACCTTTTAAGGGTTTGGTTTATTTGATTACGGCAAAACCTCGAGGGTTACCTCGAGGGATGCCTTCGTTGGCAAAACCTCGAGGGATGCCTTCGTTGAGTACTTTAAAGGAAATTGGATCGTATGCACGTTACAGATGGAGAAAACCACGAAAACTGCCATGCGGCCAGGGCGTTCGCAAGATTCAAACGTCGAACTGAACTATCAGTGTTCAGTGACTTTACCGCTCGCCCGCCGTTGGGCCCAAACCTTTTAAGAAAAACTGGCTCATATCCATGCAACATACGAAAAAGCCCATGCACCCAGCCAGATCGAACTACCAGCGTTTCGTGACCTTAAGGCTAGACCACTGATGGGCTGGGAAGGAGTTAAGGGAGATTTTTCTTCATAAATAATGCAGGGGATAAAGATAATGACGTCAATTTGATTTAAAATTAACTGTTTCATAATACTACATACACCATCTTCTATTAAAATTTATTATTGTAACTAATGTACATAAGTGGATTTAAATTCGCCGTAATAAGCTTTATAGACTAAACCTACATAATAAGCAATACTTATTATATCAGTAGTTCTGTTTAATTTGAACTAGCTCTTTGTTTCATGAGGTATAAAACATAAAAAGTCGCGAAAACGATAGAGTTTTTTTTTTTTTTCAGTTGGCACAATTTAATCTGAAAATAAACTTTCTAAATTCCTTAGGTAAAACAATATAATGAAATTTAAACATGATTTTAGTTACGTTACATATAGCAAACTAATTTTGAGGACTTGGAGATAGTCAAGCAATTCGGGAACGACAAATGTATCTTTTTATGAAACAGCTATCTATAAACTGACGAGATAATATGAATGCCGAATTTATGTGATGCTCTTTTTTTTCAGTTCGAAACAGAACAGGTTTTTACTATGAATTCTGACTGGAGAGGATCCCGAGATCTGAGAATTAAACAACCTCGCGTTTTGTTCGGATGTCGTCCATCTCAAAGGAACTTGACCACCAGTAATCGAGCGGCAAAGTCGGTGAACACTAGTAGTTCGGTTCTAAGTTCGAATCCTGCCAACGGGCTGGGTGCATGGGCGTTTTTGTGGTTTTTTCCATGTGTGACGTGTACACTAGCTAGCTTCCCTTTGAAAGTCCTCCACGAAGGCACTGCTCCCCTTAGGCAGATAGTCCTCGAGGATTTGCCGTAATCACATAAAGCTGAAAGGAATCTAAATATTTCTTTCAAAGGACCACGAAAATATTCTTTTCACCGGAGAAAGCGTCTAATATTCTAAAGATTTCCTCCAACATCGCGGATAAGACGTTCTAAAAATTTAAATAGCTAATTATGTAACAGTTAACAGAAAGAAAAATTCTAGTTTATTAAATGAAATAATTTAAGCATAACTTCCATTTTGGGTAAGGCAAATCGTATGTGTTATGGTTAACATAATAAAACGCATACCAAAAAATGTTTTTCCATCTTACTTTGAATTTTCCTCACGTGGTACATTGTCAGGACCTTGAGCAAAATAGCGATGCAGAAATGCATTTTTAAAATTCTTTAGCTCCTTGTAAAGAGAATCGAGTTCATTCCTTGATTCTTCAACCCAAGATGGCGGTATTCCGTGCAAATCTAGATTCGCTTGATTTTCCATGCTCCGTGTTTCCGGCTTATTCTGTGCTTCTACAACACAAGATGGTGGTATTTCGTGCAAATCTAGATTCACTTGAGTTCTCCTGCTCCGCGTTTTCGGCTTATTCTTTGCTTCCTCAATCCAAGATGGCGGTATTCCGTGCAAATCTAGATTCGCTTGAGTTCTCCTGCTCCGTGTTTCTGGCTTATTCTTTGCTTCTACAACACAAGATGGTGGTATTCCGTGCAAATCTAGATTCGCTTGAGTTCTCCTGTTCCGCGTTTCCGGCTTCTTCCGACAACTTGAACATATATTAGTCTGTTGTCTAATCTGTTCGTCGTTATTTCCTTCTGCGACTCCAACTGTATAATAATAAGATGTCAATAAATTACTCGTAAAACTTCAGAGAACAAACAATACAACACTAAAATGTTTGGCATCATTAATTTATGGAAGAAATTATGCATTTAAACTATTTACAAGAGAAAAATATTAGAATAAGTAAATAAATCTGAGAAAAATTAAATATAGTGTAGCAAACATATTGCTATGCAGTGGGAGTACAATTATTATGTAAATAGGCAATTAAAATTAGACAAAAAGCATGTTTTTGTTTGGGATGGATTTTAAATAAAATTATCAATTTCGAATGCTATCAGACAAACGTTTCTGTCTCATTCAAAAGCGAAAATGTATTTTTTTTCCTTAATGCTACGAAATTTGGAGCCTATTCTCCGATAACCTGCGCGACAAAGCGATTCTGTTCAAAATTCGACTTAGAGTTTGACACTGAAACGGTCTATTGCCACTTTTTGCACATATCTTCGCATAAAACAAACTAAAAACAGATGAAAAACTTTACTACGTAGTTCAGTGGACAAATTGAAAAAGAATGGATGAAATTTGTCGGAATTATTAATACAATTTATTTGATTTTTAACTGTTTTTCAAAAATTTCTCGATTTTTCGACCATTTCACAGTTATTTAGAAATTTACATTTAAATACGATTTTAGTATAAAATTTTGAAGTAGTCATCTCTACATATAATAAAAGAAAGAACGTCTCTGTGTTACTTTCGTTCGTGCTGAGCGTAAGCTAATAGACCCAAGGCTACGAAATTTGGTACACAGGTGTATTTAGACAAGAGGCCAATGCACCTAGAAGCGATTTTTTTTCAAAATACGGATAAGTTTTTTTTTTTTTTTTTTTTGGATGAAACCGCATCATTTTGAATAGTTTCATTCTTTAGAAATGTGGATTTGGCATTTCAATGTTTTGTATACTTGACTGCTGACTGTTGTAAATGAGATAAAATATTAATTATACTTTTACAGAATATTTTTGTTTGTTTGTTATAAAAAAACACGCTTCGCCGTTTTGAAACAAAAAATAGTAGACAAATTAAGCGATTTTCTTTTCTAACTAGCCTCTTCTTCAGCCAACATAATTTGTATCTATAATCGCCTGATCGGAAGCTAAAAAGTTATGAATGTATAACTATAATTTAGTAGTTATAGGCTTCTGTTTTATTAAGAATTTGATAAAGAAAGGTAGCATTGCCAGAACCTATTTAAAACACAATTCGATATTTAATTAAAAACAGACGATTTCTTACCAAACATGAATCGCTACCACTATAATGTAATCAGGATAAATAAATCAAAAATAATATTGCACAATCAGTTAACATATTTAGGCTTCAGAATTTTACATTCATTTTAAAGTTTAAATTATGAATATAGCGGTGTTTGATGAAATCTGTTAATGCATATAAAAAAGTTAAAGAACTCCAGAGACTGTTCAGTAAATTCTTGAAGGGTTAGATTCCGTGGAGGCCACGGTTGACCAGCGACGCGACCAACAGTAAAATCACATGATCAGAGTAAAATTTTTAAATAATACCATCGTTACTATAATGGTTTGAAGAATAATAAATCGCAAAAATGGTCTGCAGCTCCTCGGGAGAGGGATCACCGGTGACCCTCCCCCGAGGGTCAGGATTATATAACTCATCATATCTTCTGTAGATAATATTTTAACATAATATATATGGCATATACTGGCGCCATGGGCAAACCAAGTAAATCGCGCTTGGCAGTCAATGTGTTAATCACACGATTTCAATTTACACCAAAGATGAAAAATACAAAAAATATACTCTTTTTTTCCTTTTCCTTCTCTCTTTCCTAACATTCGGAGAACAGTATATATCCTTATTGAATTCTGTTAAGGGAATGAAACGTAATTGTGATAGAAATGTGTAATGAAATATCATTTCTGTGCAGAGCACTTACTTACCGATGCCAATAACTAGACAACGTTCAAGAATAAATGAACAAAACAGGGGCAAATGATGACACTTTGCATTGCTTCAATGGGTATGGGACCATGAATGTTCCAACTATGCCTATATGGCATTTTTTAAAATTTTTTTTCTTAAAAATGGAATTTTCGAATTTCGAAAGGCGAAGGGTAAAAACTGATTAGTGTTTTGCTGCCCTTTTTTCCATCGCTCAATATTATTTTGATGTCGCATTTGACTGCTATAGAGAAGCTCGCAAAAGATAATTTTGGTAACTGGAAGCTACAAACCGAAGCCGTATTGATTAAAAATGACCTGTGGGATTATGCGATCAGTAAAGAACTGAAGGAACCGAAAATGAAAAGAAATGGCTCCAAGCTATTAAAAAGCTTGCGAAGACATGAACTGTGTCATATAAAGCACTGGGAGCTTTGAAGAAACTCAAAACGTGTGTGAATGAAGGGATCCGCGAAGAAGTTTACCATATTAAAACTTTTATTTAGAAAAATGTACGAAAATCTATGAAGGTTAATATAACGGATGTAAAACAAAAAATACCAATTTGTTAAATCTAAAGCTTGCGATTTGCAGGTTGGTTGATTTTTTAAATGGCACAAAACCTCGAGGGTTATTATGCGTCAGACAAATGGGGAGTAAAATTCAAGATGCATAAACAAGTATCAAGTGAACTGATGAAATGAACGTGAAATGCTGATGAAGACATGGAGAAATGATTTTAAAATGTCCAGGCAGAAATGACTGAAAAATGCTCTAGCAACAGGTAGAGCAGGATAAAATGTAGTTCAAATCATATGGTAAAAGGAGATGTCTTTTATAAAACTTATGATGTTGATGTGAGGGTTTCTTCCAACGAGATCTGTTAACATTCGTAGAGTTAAAATAAAATTCGCGTTTCTAACTAAAAGCAGGACAGCAGGTTAAAATATGATTGAGTGAAACGGGAACGTTGCAAGTGCCACTAATAGGCTCATTATCTCCTTTCAAGAGGTACTGAGGTGTCAATCTGCAATGACCAATTGGTAAGCTGGCATCAAAGTCAGTAGTACACTCTCCTTTCGATTCCCTCTCAACTCCCAGAACTCCAAATTGGATTTTACCTGCTTTAACTTGTTCAGAGTTTGGCATTCCCAGAATTCTTGCCACCTGAACAAGACTTTTGTTCTAATGTAATTCCGTATGTCTGTAAAAGAAACATCGTTTCCTGAGGTAATATCAGCAGATTTTGCTGCAATATCGGCGAATTCATTGCCTTTGATGCCAGCGTGTCCAGGCACCCAGCAGTACGCGATATAATAACCTGAGTTTCTCAAACGGAGGTGTGCTTTTAAAATTTCTAAGACCAAAGGGTGGCTGATATTTGTATTTGATTCAAGAGCACTCAGAGAATCAGAGTAGATGATGAACGTTCTATTCTGCCTAGAGAGAAAGATTAAGGCATTCAAAATAGAAAAAGTTGCCGCAGTAAAGACAGATGCAGCCTTATGAAGTTCACCATTTATTTCTTTATCACAAACAAAAGCTGCCCCAACGTGGTCATTGATTCTTTGAGCCATCAGTAAAAATTGTCTTGTAGTTAGAATAACTACTTCTATGCTCTAGGAAAATTTGTTGGTAATGGACATCATTGGTATTGCTCTTCTTTAGTTCTCCAAAAATGTTAAGTAGGTGAATGTTCACTTCTTGCCAGGGAGCAGTACCGAAGAGGTCAAAGCTTTTGAGATGCAGATCATTTAGGTTAAATTCTTCAATCAGTGAGTGAATGCGAAGATCAAAAGGTGAGATACATGATGGACGGGCATGGTAAAGACGCCAGTACTGATCAGATGTCACGAGTCGGATAGGATGTTCGGCCTGTGACATTACTTTATAATGAAGATCAATGGACAACTGCTTGCGTCTGAATTCCAAAGATGGTTCAAAACCGATGACATATAAACTCTGGACTGGAGATGTTCTGAAGGCTCCACAGCAAATCCGTAGCGCTTGATGGGGGACTGGATCCAATTTCAGGAGCACAGAAGGTCTTGCTGATCCGTAGATAACACAGCCATAGTCAAGTTTGGAATGGATTAAAGCTCTATAAATGCGGAGATCTCCATGAGGTATTGGCCAGAACTTTCAGTATGTTGAGAGCTTTAGCACATTTTTTCTTTAGATTTAGGATATGCGGAAGGAAAGTGAGCTTTCTGTCAAAGATAACTCCTAAGAATTTTGCTTCTGGCTCAACGCGGATCAAAGAGCCGTCAAGATGCAGCTCTAGATCAGGATGTAGATTTCTTTTGCGACAAAAGTGCACGCAGACTGTCTTCTGGCTAGAAAACTTAAAACCATTGTTGTTGGACCACTTTATGATACTATTTAGAGCAATTTGTATCTCAATGCATCTGATTTCTTGACTTGACAATAGATCATCAGATCATAAACATACAGGGAACCATGCACTGTGGGAGGAAGTTCTCTTAAAATGGAATTAATTTTCAGGCTGAAAAGAGAGACACTGAGGCACTGAACCTTGTAGTACACCTTGTTGTACAAATACTTGAGAAAGCAACGAACCAATCTTGACTTGGAAAGTGCGGCCCTTCAAAACGTTATGAGTAAAAACGAGAAGATTACCTCGCAATCCAGTGCTGTAAAGGTCATGAAGAGTCCCATACCGCCAAGTTCTATCGTATGCCTTTTCCATGTCAACGAAGATTGAAAACACATGATTTCTTTTCACAAATGCATTACGTACTGCGGTTTCTAAAAACAAGGCATTATCAAGTAAGGCTCTTCCCTTACGGAAACCACTTTGGTAAGGCGATAGGCAATGATTAGTCTCCAGATAGTAGGGTGAGGCGGTGATTTACCATTCCATAATCTTGCAAAGGCAGCTAGTGAGCGCGATGGGGAGATAATTTAAAGGATTTTTCGGGTCCATGCCGGGTTTTACTATAGGGATAACAAAGGCCCTGCACCAGGCAGTAGGAAAAATTTGTTCCTTCCATATCTTATTATACAGAGCAAGAAGGACCACTACAGATTCATAGGGCATGTACATTATCATCAGATAACTTATGCCATCAGGACCAGGGCAAGTCCTATCAGTGCGAGATAATACATTTCTTAATTCACACATGGTGAGATCTTTATTATAAGATTCTGCATTAGGATGGGAAAAGTCGATTTGAATCCTTTCCAAGCACATTTTTGTGGGCAGAAACTCTTGAGTAAATGCTACTGCCAGATACAAGAGCAAATGTATCACCTAAAAGCATCGGCTATTTCTTCTCTAGTGCTAATCAACTTTCCATCTTTTTCTAGAACAGAAAAGGAATAATCATTATATAGTCCAGAGGCTTTGCGGACTCTTTCCCAAACCTGTTTGCTAGACATTGAGGAGGTAATAATGGACACGTACTCTGCCCATGATTTTCTCAGACTTTGCCGCCTCACTTTTCTTGCATTCGCCTTAGCATTTTTAAAGGCAAGAAGATTTTCCAGTGTAGGATAACGGCGAAAGATACGCCAAGCTTTCTTTTGCTCTCTCGAAGTTTTATGACAATCATTGTTCCACCAGGGTTTAGGCCTTTGGAATCACCTTTTGGATACCTAATGACCTTTAGGATATTAACATTCCCTTTTGCATTTTTCCACAATTATTGTGACACCTTTTACTTTTCTTACTGTAAAATGTTCGACAATTTCATACATTTACCAAATGGAACATCTATAGTTTTAAACCGTAGTTTTAGTAAATACTTGGGTATAAAAACTCCAGAATGTCGTTAAACGTTGTACGTAGCGTATTCGGAAACTAAGCACCGTTTCATTCTAACGCCGTCGCAGCGCTGTGGTAGGCGTCTCGAGCATGCGCACTAGTCTTTCTTGTTCACTGACTTTCAATTGTCGCCATTTTGGTTGTTCTATGTTGTGTTTTCAGTTTGCTGTGCACATTCAAAATGTTTAAGACAACTAGTTCTCCCGCTGACTGTGAGATTCGTGCCGTGATTAAATTTTCGAACGCGAGGAATGTTAAACCAGCTGAAATTTATCGTCAAGTGACAGAAGTTTACGGTGAATACGCGATAAGTTCTGGAATGGTGAGAAAGTGGGTAAGAATGTTTAATGCAGGTCGAACAAATGTCCACGCCGAGGCTCGGAGTGGTCGGCCTTATGTTGTCACTGATGATTTGGTAAGGAAAGTTGACAGGAGAACAGACGCTTCACAATGACAACACTTTCAGAGGCATTTCCACAAATTTCACGTACTGTTTTGTTCGAAATTGTGTCTGAACGCTTGAATTATCGCAAACTGTGTTCCCGATGGGTTCCACAAATGCTCACTGATGTTCACAAAACAAAGCGACTTGGTAGTGCCCTGACATTTCTCACGCGGTACAGTGATGAGGGAGAAAACTTTTTAAACCAAATTGTGACAGGTGGTGAAACTTGGGTGTGTCATTTCACACCAGAATCTAAACAATCGATGTAGTGGAGACACACTCATTCTCCGAAAAAACAAAATTTCAAAGTGACATTGTCATCACAAAAAATCATGTGCACTGTCTTCTGGGATAGGAAAGGCGTTTTGCTTACTGAATTTCTTCCCAGGTGAAGGTGAAACCATTAATGCGGCACGATATTGTGATACTTTAACAAAATTAAGGCGTGCCATTCAAAACAAACGAAGAGGAATGCTCAGTAAAGGAATTGTGTTGCTCCATGACAATGCTCGGCCCCATACTGCTAGTGTACTCAATCGTTAATTCGACAGTTTCATTGGGAGTAGTTCGATCACCCGCCGTACAGCCCGGACTTGGCGCCGTCCGACTATCACTTGTTCCTGCACATGAAGCGCGAGCTTGGTGGCAAGCGCTTTGGATCTGACGAAGACACGAAAAATGCTGTGGAGTCGTGGTTATCGAAACTGGCGGGAAGTTTCTTTGACGATGGTATACAAAAACTGGACACCCGCTATGACAAGCGTTTGATCATTGGCGGAAACTATGTTGAAAAATAGTTCAAGACATGTATTTTCATGTAAAAATAAAATTGGATTCGAAAAAATTGTTTTACTATTTTTTTTTTTTTTTTTTCAAAACGGTACTTAGTTTCTGAATACGCCTCGTATACGCATTTTATACGTTTTATTATCGTCATTAACTATGTCGTTGCTTAAGCTCACTTGTCTGACGTAGTCAGTCCAAGCCCACGAAACTTCCTTGTGGTAAGGAGCGCTAGATTACGCCTGCCGTTGACAACAGCCTTGAGCAGCATCCAGGTGAAAATGCGATTAGCTCCGTTCAGCCCTCAAATTTTATAGAGAGCACTCCAGGGGGGGAGGGTCCCCATCCCTCTCCCCAAACCAAAAGAGGACGCATATTTAGTGTGCCGCCAAAGCCGCACCGACACGATTACATTTACAAACACCCACGACTTCTCCGGAATTCGAACCCGTGCCACTCGGCACGGTAGTCACGATGCTGACCGCTATACCAGTTGGGCGGCACGTTATTAAATACAAAACATTTCACTAACAAAAACACGTTTAAAGACTAAACAGAATTATCAGAAGTCTTCACACAAGTATAATTTTAGAAATATTCAACTTACTTTGATCCATCTTTTGCAAGGGAACGAAATAACCGTCATTTTCATCATTTTCTCTTGCCGCTCCCTCAGTATCGAAATAATTATCGTATTCTTCAATAATAGTAGATAATTCGGCTTTCTGGCAGCGAAGTTCTGCAGAAGATGGGGACTCTGATTGTTCAGAAGCTGGATTGTCCATCGAGTCTGAGTCACCAAACGAAGCAGCTCTGTTAAGAATTGTAGTAAATTTAAGAATTTATATGTCTGGTATTTTGATAGAATTGATAGAAATATAGAACAATACTAGAATATTACGACCATATTAAAGCCAGCCAATATTTTCTTAGTATCAGTTGCGTGATATAGCTAAGGATTTAAGCATGAAAAAGTTGAAGTTAAGAACTGTAACAATTCATAAAACTTCTTAAACGATGGAAGCAGTTGTGATAAATAGAGCCGAAAATTAGAATTTAAATTGGTTCGAATGCAAGACGGGAATTCGGATTCTAGGATTTAGCAACTGCATTTATCTAAGATTACATGAAACTGCGTAATAGTTAACATGCATATTTACACCGAGTCAACTGTTACTACTAATGCGATTAATTTTAAAACTATTGCTACTACACTTACAACTAAACTATTATTCATACCACTAAACTATTACTTCTATTCGTATTACTACTTTCAACAGTAAAATCCAACCGATTTTTATTCTTCCTATCACTGAACGATCACAATGATAGAAAGGATCACAGTTACATACAGGAGTATACAAGTATTAACGTAACTGATTTAGCAGAAGTCGCTAAATTTTCAAAATATGCTCCAAACTTTGGCATCAAGGCCCATAGCAGGTTTTCGTTTTAAGAAGCAAATATGCTTTCCTACGTGTTCTTTTAACTGTATTCCAAGCTACTGAGGTTTTTATAGCAACATTGTGATTTTCAGTCCAAAGGGGCAATTTTCACAGAAGGGCTATTTAGTTTTGGCATTTTGCGTTGGTTCACTTTTCAAATTGTTGCCACCAAATATTAGAGCCCTGTATTATATTTAAAGAAATTAAATAATGAAGAATCTGCATAAATGTACGTTTCTCGCATTGTGATAAAACAATGATACCCAGAGCCACCAAATTTTGAATAACGGTCGTTTCCACCCAAATATGAGCATCTGGAAGTCTAAATTGCGAATTTAGTTTTATTATCTGTTTCATAGTTTGTAAACTTTCAATGAATTTTTTATTAAGAAACTCAACGATTTCGAACCGAACAATGGGCAAAACTGTACGAAAAAAACAAAAAACCATTTTTATCTGCAGCGCGCGAGACTTTATCATAAATTCTAAAAATATGGTCATTTTAAAATTATTTTGCGATATTGCTGTTGACCGTAATTTTATGGTTTAAGTGCGAAGAACATATTGTTTAATAAATAAATAGAACACACAAAACGTTAAAAAGTCCCTTTGGGTGTAATGTAAAGTCTGAAAGCTTTCAGGTTTTTTTTGTTTTGTTTTTGATTTAAAAGAGGATTTTTGAAAATTGCATAGGAAGAAAATTGTTGTGAAATTCTAGAGAAATTAAATTTTTGACGCAAAAATACTAAATCAACAATTGCTTTGTGTCCACTCTTATGTACCAATTTCCCACTTAAACAAAGTAATTAAAACAGACCCAAAGTAAGCTCATTTTTGACTTTTCAGTATAAATACTTAAATTGAAACGTAAAACATGTGCGTAATAAATTATTTCTGAAATTTTAAATAATCATTCTTTCGGAAAAAATTACTTGTGGCAATACGCAAGTACAATAATCATTCACTACTAAATATTTTAAGCTTTTCTAAAATATTGTCAGATGTGCACTGTGATTTGATAAATTTCATCTTAAAACTTAAAAATATTTCCTTTTACAGTAGGGTAATCATCAAAAGCTGTGCTAAATAAACTCTCATAAAAAGTCAAAATACACAGAAGGAAAGTGCTTCCATTTGAAGTTAAAAACCAAGGGGTAATGCATCATTAAACTGAAGTTTTCACTGGAAAATTTAAGTTTTGAAACTGAGAATAATCTGAATTTCTCGACCGAAAATTTTCGGCCTATTATTCCGACCAACTCCACTTTAATTTTGAATTCTGAGTAATGTTACGTTACCACTGTTAATTTATGTCGCCTTATTTAATAAAATATGTAGCGAATCAATTTCCAAAATTCTTTTGGAATTTGAACCGAGCTGTAAAGTATTATATTTATTAGAGACTTTTCTTAGAAAAAAGCACATAAAAATGCAGTTTTTACTCTGCGTTTTACGTAAACTCTTGCGTTACTTTTAGTCAGCGCTAAACTCAAGTATGGTGCAATATTTGCTGAATAACAAAAGGTGATGATAATACTGCATTCAGTTTTAGACATGTAAAAAGGAAAGCAAGCTCCACAGATATTTGATTTTTGTGAAGCTGTTAAATGCTATTGGTTAGTGATGTCTCTTAATAAAAACAAACATCGTTCAATGATAGAGTTCTTGGTAAAACAGAGCATAACATCAACATATATCCAAGAATGCTTGGTTGTGATTTATTGTAATAACCAGTTCTTCACATGCCGCCATCAAATGGTGAGCTGTCATGTTTAGACAAGGAAGTTATTCGAATATGATCCACGATTCAGACAGAAACGAGCATGTGGCCAATAAAGAAATGTGTGCTGAAGTCAAAGAAATCCAATGTGAAAGTGTGACAGTTTCTCTCAATGCACCGGAAATTGATGTTAGTATTGTATGACTGGAAACTATCTGGCATGAAGTGCTGGTGATGACGAGGGATTGGCCCCAAATGGAAACCTAAAATTTTTAAGCCAGAAATGAAGGAAAATTCGAATACTCTCAAGAGCCGGTTTTTGTAATAAACACCAATAAAAACCTGTATTTATCCATAGTAATAGGAAATGAATTAAAAGATTCACCACTGAACAGACTGCACACTAAAAAAGACTAGAAATCGTGGTGTGAAAAAGATGGATATCTCCACTTCCACAAGTTCAGATGCTAGAAATCCAAGGTATAAACTTCAGATTCTAATTTTCGAGGTGGTTAGGTTAGGTTATTTAATTACGGCAAAGCCTCGAGGGCTATCTGCCTAAGGAGAGGGATGCATTCGTGGAGGACTTTCTAAGGAAAACTGGCTTGTATACACGTTACAAATGGGGAAAACCACTAAAACACACTACAGCCACCCCGTTCGCGGGATTCGAACCTCAGACCGAACTACCAGTGTTCAGCGACTTTAGCGCTCGGCCGCTGCTGGGCCAACTTTCAAGGTGGAAAAGGAGAGACTATTTACAAGTTATATACCATACAATATCACAATACCATCTGTTTAGTATACGGATTGTGCATGAACTCCGGCTGCCTATAAAAGGCAAAATGACACGGCCAATGCAGCAAATTAAGTTTTGCATTTGTTGGATAACGGCTCCAACACTCCAACTTAGATTTGCTTATAGCTATTTAACTATTGTGGCTTCAATTTTGTATATTATACCCCTTATTGCTGTTTTCCATAATGTAAAGTATTAGATCTGGATCTAAGTAACTCTTTCTTTCCAAAACTGAAGCAGTATCGCAGCTATGAGAAGGACCTGAAGAATATATCTCAGCAATGATTTGAAGGTGATAACAAATCACTTATGTTAGAGACCGACGCTTGAAAAAATATCTCTGTACTAAACTTGACATCGAATAGGAAGCTACACAGAAAACTGAAAAAGTAATTTTGGACATTTACCTTGGGCAAGAACTTATTGGTCATCAATTCCATACCAATACTTATGTTTGGTATAAAACCAATATTACTACATAACGCTCGTTCTTTTAATAACAAAACTGAATAATTAAACATTTTATGAATAAAATTGTGTTTTAAGAAAAAATTAATTAAATTTTTAATTTTGATTTTTATTTAATTAATCATTTGAATTCGAGTTAACATTAATGACTTAATTTGTTTTCGTTGTATAAAAATTGCCGCATTGCACAAAATCTAAGCCGCAGTTTTTATTATGATAAAGTTAGGATGCGATTTATATTCATTTCAAATATTTTAACGCATTTCTTTCGATTGCGCCTTCCATTTGAAAATTTCAAGAAATGTGCATTAATTTAAATGCAGAAATTTTCGTTTTTTACGGGTTCGAAATAATTTCGCTGTTAGATCAAAAATATTTGTTTAATTATGCTGCATACTTTACAGTTAGTCAATAAAGTCTGCGTACATCAAGAAAAGTAATATCAAATCCAAATTTTAAGGTGCGAAAAGGGTAGTTTCTTAAAGTTTTATTTTTTAAATATTTAGTTTCAATAAGGGACTTTGAAATTATTTAATTTAATATTTATCTAATAATTTATGCACACTAATTTTTAAAAGATAAGTGGCCAGAAATCAAAGCCAATAAAGTTTGCGTACAACGCGAAGGAGGCGGGGGTTTCTTATCTAACTTTTAAACTTCAAACTTCAGAATGCAAAGAAGGTTACACTTTCAAGGTCATTGACTTCCGAAGCAAATTTCACGTTGATTGGAAGTTGATATTTCTATTTTCTTTGACGAAAATGACAACCAAATTCCTTTAGTTACGAGACAACTCATTATCAAATTGAGAGATGAAGGTAAAACTCTTCTGGAAAACCATTTTCTAGTGTGCAAAGAGTTATTCAAAACTATCTTGACACTGGTAGTCTTGCTGTAAAACCAAGATGTGGGAGACCGAAGAAGCTAACGCAGAGAGAAGAAAGAAAAATTCTTTTACGAATTAAACAAAATCCTAAACTTTTTCTGCAAGCATTGCAAAAGACATTTTTTTAACTAGCAACAAGGAAATTTCTCCTGAAACTGTACGAAAAGTGCTGCGAAAGTCCGATTATCATGGATGCAAACCTAGGTCTAAGCCATGCATTTCCGAGACAAATAGAAAGAAAAGAATTGCTTTTGCCAAAACATATTTAAACTCTTCGCAGGACTTCTGGAACAATGTAATTTGGTCAGATGAAAGTAAATTTACAATATTTAAAGTTAATGCCCCCCCCCTAATGTATGGAGAAAACCAGGAACAGAACTGAATCTGAGAAATTTAAATCCAACTGTCAAACATGGAGTTGGCGGTGTGATGGTATGGTGGTGTGTATGTCGTCGAAAGGAGTTGGAAATTTTCACATTATTGATAAAGTCATGG